ATGCAGAGGTCATAGACCAAATTTGCTGATGGAGGCAGGATGAAACAAATTCGGCTGCATTTTTATGATATTTTTCCTGCTGCTCTTAGCTTTTTATTTACCCAAAGTAATACAATTTTCCAGAGGAGTGTAACAGCTCCAACATATGGAACTGCTATCCAGTTCACTGCTTAGGTGCAAAACTGCATGGGAACAGTGGTGTGTCAATAAATAGCTTACTGCATGTCAGGGAAAGTAGTCTCTGGGGAACCGTATTGCCAGCTTGGCAGGAGTCTAGAAAAGGAGATCTCAAGGTGGGATTGGGATATTAATGCAGTTTAGTGAATAGAACCCAGGCCTAAAGGAAATCCAACTCAAGTAACATGAAGACTAAATGGAAGGCAGAGAGAGAGTAACAAGAAAGAGGGGCTTGTTAATGCCAGGTCTATAAATCAAGGGGTTTTTCCCCTTACTCTAGCACAAATTTTGAGCCAATTTTGGACATCCTTGTAAATCAGTACACAGTAGTTTTTTCACTTGAGAAACAATATCATAACACTGAGCAAGCTATTTGGTAACCAGTTGTGCTGCCTTTACTCTTGCTGAGTAATATTTTTGTGCCACAAGAGAAATCTGCAGGAATTATGATTTAGGTCTGATCTGCATGCTAGTTTTATGTTGCTGAGATTCTGCTGACTTTGAGGTTGTATCTATATTTTCAGTAGCATTGCTGATGTTTAGATTTCAACCCAGCATAATTTACTTAGGAAATGAGAGTAATTCCTGCACTCGGTTTAAAGTGTCAGCACATAAGTCAGCAAGCCTGGCTCCAGGAGAAAGTTGTAGACCTGAGTTCGTCATGATTTAATGGTAGGGAATGAGACTTGCTTGTTAGGAGAGAGGCTGTACTACTGAGTGTTCCAAATGATCTGATTTTGTGTGTATGTACAGTTGTATTATAGTTTTGTTATGACGTATGGCATAGGAGAGTGTGTATGTTTATAGTGATAACATCATTCTCTTTCTCCTGTGTGTTTAGGGAGAAGGTAACAGGTCTGCATGCATTCAGTAACACTTGGACCTTGCAAGGTGCACTACAGACAGTGGTGACATACTGGGGGAGCTGGTATCCCTCAGGATCTTGTCAGTGCATTTTTAGCCATTTGTCAGCTATATTATAGGTGAACCGCGTCGTGTCAATGTTTGGGGTTTTTTTTAATCAACAGTCTCATTTTTTGCATTTGCCACCTAGGTCTAGGTGGAATTGCCTGTTTTAAATGACGTTTGTCACCATTCACCTGTGTTATTTGGGAAGGGCACAGTCTGATAATTTGCATGACTAAAAATATGACTGGTGTCTACCCTTTGCGTTACGCAGTCTGTTTTGGGATCCTTCACTTCTCGATTTTCACCCTGGTGCATGGGGAGGGGAGGTTGTGTCACTCGTACCTCAAAGCCACCCCCAAAATCCCAGATACCAGCCTCATGTCATCCTTTTGAGGACTGGGGAAGGCATGAAGGCAGTTTGGAGATCCCTCTTTCCTCGCTGCAGTTACACACCAGTAGATGGGCACTGCCAGATATCCGACCTATTAGCGTTTTATGTGACTCCCAGTTTGTATTACTCCTGTTTCTGCTTATGTATAACGCATGAGTTCTGTCTTCTCATCTTCCATTTACGTGATTCCTGGCATTTTAAATTCAAGTAGATTAGATTTAGACTTTTTGTAATGAATCTGCATCATTTTGTGTTCTGCATACTCCTGAAATAGCCTGGGGGAGCCTGATAGACACAATTTATGTGTATCATTTACAGACATAAGAAAGCGTCTGATTGGTTTAATCTTTCTTTTGTTAGCTCTCTCCTATAATTCTAATCACTGTTTTACTGTGGCATTACACTGTTGAGGAAAGTATGATTTTTTGAAGGCAGGATGCTTGCTATATTTAGAAGTGGTGGTACTTAAAGGCAAACAGCTTCAAGGTCTTCACAGCAGATTTTCTCCTGCTGATTCTAGTGGTAGGTCAGATCATAGTTTGCAAGGTAGGAATGTATCTGACATGTATTTTACCAACAGTAAGTTTAATTCATCTATTTCTGGTATTATTTCCTGACTTCATCAGAATGGGATGTAGGTGGCATGCTTCTGTGCAGCACGGAGCTCTACTGCTGAAAAGCAGTTTGTGTAAAAGCAGAAATGGATGCTGATACTCCGGTGCATTGTGTATGGCAAAGGAGAAGGAGGACTGATGAGATTTGGCAGTGTTTATTGCTGTGGTGCTGAGATGCTTGGAGTCTTCTACATGACTCCTCGGTCTCTGTCACTTTTGCACAGAGCAGAACGAAGGAGACAGAAGCATTAAGGACCCGGCCCTGTAATTTTCCAGTTGAAATCAATCAGTATAAACAGTAAGCCAAATTATCTTCTGATACCAATCAGTGCTCTTCTGTTGGCTTTAGTAAGGCTGTGCCCATTTGCAGTAGCTGAGAATTAGGCTGTTGGTCCCTACCCAACCTTTCTGATGACTTAACACAATTTTTTAAACATAAAAGTCTTGTTTCAGGTCTGGGTTGTTGGCTTATATGTTTAAATTGGAGCCATGTCAGTCCTCATGTAATCAACACTTTGAAGAAGATCCATGACTGGGGTTAGGTAAAAATGCATTTTTTTTTCCTACTACTATCTGGATTTTCTCAGAACCTAGATAATTTTATCCCATTTGCATCAAACATGCAGGTAACTTTAGAATCCTGCATCTGTATTGTTTCTAGGGAAGCAAAATAAAATTACAAATGACAGTAATTGACATTACATGCTTTAATTAAATTTCCTCCTCTGTGAACCAAAACCTTTTAACCAAGTATTGCAGTGCTATTTCTGTATTTATTTGTTACATGGGTTAATGTGCTATGTGGCAGATACGGTATTTATCCATTTTCACAAATTAAGCTATCAGTGTCATGTTGCCTTTGAATTGTTTCCTGTATTGATGGCCAAAACCGCTTGAAAAAGACTTTAGTCTTCCCTGGCTATACTTCTGTTTTTACAAAGCTGAAAATTGCGGGGTTGAAAGTGAACCCTTAGGAACAGTTTGGGAAACTAGGCCCAAAGCATCTTGCTAATCTGCTGCTTTTTTCCCTGCAGTGATCTCTGCTAAGGGAAGGGGGAAGTGCACAGGCTTTTTCAATGATGGTTTTGTTGTTAGATTACAGGAACTAGAAATTAAGTCCCACTTGAATTTATTTTTGTGGCAAGTGAAAACGGATTACAGAGAGTATGATTAGAAATTCCTCTACTTGGTCCCCAAGCTATGCACTTCAGACCTGCTGTTGACAACTTCTCACCATGCTGAGAAAGCAGCGCTGCTTTAGCTAATTTGCAGCTTTCTTACTCTACTGGAACTCCTCCTCTTAGAACTGTTTACCTGGACAAGATCTTTTGGCTACTACTGTAGGTACGAAAATTCATCTTAAAATAGAAAAACTTGAATTTACCGTTTTTTGTAAAATAGGTATTTTTGTGCATGCAAAAAAATGCCACTTTGTAAATAAGTATAAATAACTGCTTATCAGATAGGTTGAATTGGTGATGCACATTGCTGTGGCTTCAGACTCTATGAAAATTTCTTAATGTATAATCATGTTCAGCATCTTCCTTGATGTTTCAAGTGGAGCGTGGTTTTCCTTTAGCTGTACTTACCTCGCAAATGGGATTGACATAATAAAGTATCTGGGACACTTAAGGTTCTATTCAGAAATGAGGAAAAGGAAGCTTGGTAACAAACTCCCAGTTTAGTATTGTCCTGTAATGCTGTTATTCAGCGGTTCAGCAGTCCCGTGTCCTGGTACCAGAAAGCAATGGGACTCGAGGAGTCAGAATGGGGAGCCCCATTACTACTTGTGAGTACAGCATGGAATAGGACTGTTGGCAGGGGAGAGGTGCCTTTAGGAGTGACCCAGTAGCTGCAGACCGATGTGTATCAGACACTCCTTAGAACTGGTGAAGAATGTGGTTTCAGAACAGTGATGAGAGCTCTCTGTCTCTTCCTGCAAGGAATCGCATCTGATAGGAAACCTGGGGGAGGAACGTTGTGTAGCACAGCTGAGTAACCCTAAACAATAAATACCTCTCCGTTCTCCGTACTTGCCTTCTGGCACTGGTATTTCAAAATGCAGCTCAGTTGGAAACTAGAAAGGTAACCACTTTCCACAATTCAGAAATGAGCCAGGGATGTGTCACTTCCCTCATCCTGCTCCAAGTTGAAACAGACACTTAAACATTTTACAGCTTCTGAAAAGTTTTAGTCTGTAGAAAACTTCATAGCAAGTTGATTTTTAGCCCAAGTAATTGCTTTAGATTATCTTTTCATTACTGTCTCTCTTTGGAAGGATGCGTAGCCCATAAAACTTTCTTCTTCATTTCTTACCAGTAGTTTATTATTCTTTTGATGGCTCATACCATTCTTTTCCTTAGGTTTTTTAGTGTTTTATATGCTTTGCCTGTTTTAGAGGTTAATCCTTATTCCACATGAGTTTTACTAATTATTTCAATAGGGAAGTATTTATAGAGAAAGGACTACTGTGATCAGAGCCTGAACTTGGTAATACCACATGTGCATCTCAATTCTGGCAACAGGATTCAAGGATTCTGTAGCTTTGGTTGACCAGCCTTTGTTTCACACACCAAGAAAAAAAAAAAAAAAAAAAAAAAAAAAATTAGACCTATGCTTTGAGGGGAATTGTGGCTTTATTTAGTTTTAAGGGAAAAAGGTACAAGTTACCTACAGCAGAAACAGACTGCAGTTGGTAAAAAAGATGTGCTTTTACACTTGCTGTTTGAGTGTTTTGTTCAGTTATAGGACTGATAACAAAAGCACACGGCCAAAACTGCATCCTAGCATTCACAGTGCAACTTACCAAGCTGCGAAAAGCAGATTTAGTTTCTTTTGCAGATGGTCTATGAGTCTCATGTGGCATCATATTAAATTATATAGGCAGTCAGTCACTTGTTCTGAAGCGATGCTCTGAGCTGAGAGTTGTGATGTGCTTGGACCATTCTGTTGGAAAACAGGCTCTAAAGCTAACACAGCTTCTCTGAAGAACAGCAGCAAAGGGGCCTGCAGAGCTAGGGGCTGCAAACACCTTCAGGACTGCAGTTCTCCCTGTGATGCACTATGAGGGTGACCCAGCTACCCTACGATGGGCTGTGGAGCATTTTGCCCTAAAGGTAGGAGACTAGACTGACTCAGATATTTTTCATCTTCATTTCTGTGATACTTTAGGAGTGTTGTTTTATGACCATATGTTTTTGCAATGGCAGTAATTTTTGTTTTGTAATATTTTGAAGATAAGAATGGGAGTTTATTTTCTCCTTGCCCTTGTCAGGCTTCATTTTTCCTGGGTAAAAGAGGAAGAAAATACAGTAGTTTGAATTTTGAATGCTATCCGTGAAAATATTTCTGCAATGTGAGTGATAAAGAATTAGCTGTTTCATTCTAGTGGTATTTTGTAAGAGTATGTGTTTCTGTTAACTTCAGTTTGGTACAAATTCAGTCCTTAAGTAATGCTGGATCCAGTGTAAAAATAGTGATTTTTATCAGCTGAATTTCCACTCAGGGAAAGTTGTCATTTGTAGTGAAAAGCAAGCTTAAGAAAGCAATGTCATGCAGTAGGTAAGTTTTAACGTTTATGCTTATTAAAATGAAAATTTTGTAGCACTAAACACTTTCTTATAGGAATATTAAGAAACTTATTTATGATATCAACAACGGAATGCTGTAGGTTATTTCTGGGGAAGTAAAACTCATTTAAGGGTATTTACTTGGATGATTGAACTTCAATTTTTGGTGTGTTCACCTATGGAGCAGGACATACAGCCACAGCTACTATCGGGATGAATGTTTTGCATGCTGGAAATGATACATTGGTAATGACAGCAACCCGGGAACTGCATTAAGAGGTAGGAGTTTACAGAGAGGAGTTTCCCTTGTCTGGCAGCACTTGACAGGTGGTAGCAAGTGCTGCTCCGAACCTACAGCTTGTTTGCGAGCGCTGGGTTCAGACGGCTGCGGTGGGTGTGCAGCTCGGAGCCGAGGGTTTGCACTTACAGCGCTGGTGCTGACACTGCTTGCAACTCGTTTCCTGATCAGAAACATGTGAACACCGTAATCAGATGAACAGTTCAGTAAGGTGATTTTTTGGAGACAGGGTATTTGTGAGTCGGAGCAGCTGTTTGAGTTTTATCAGGAAATGAGCAAGATCAGGAATGCACAGGAGGGTACCAGGCATTGCCTGTGAAGGGCAAAGCACGGGGCTGGATGGAAGTCCTTACTCCTGGTTATATGAAAAGAAGGGTGTTCTCTTTGCTGTTACACAGGTTTGGGAAATGAGACACAGGTATTCCCGACCATTCTACATCAGCCTGAGTGTAACATCATAGACAGGTTTTTAAGGCTGTATTTCCAAGTGCCTAGCTTCCATTTTACAAGTCAAATCTGTGTCTCCAGAAAGGGAACATGTAAATATATCCCTTAATCTAGAATTGTGTCACTTTCTGTCCTGCAGAGTGGGAATAATGCTATTTTCTTTTGTTGGTGGGGTGTTAAATGAATTAATTCTGATTAGGGAATTTGAGGACCTAGACTAGAAAGGGTGGTTTTATTCCCTGTGCAAATTGAGAGCTAACTCTGCTTTCCAAAGCCAAACATAGTTTCCAGTTTGTACTACCAAAGTCCTGTCCCGTCTTGCATCATCATCTTACACTTCTGTGTAAATATGTTTTAGCTGTTACCACAGCCATACTATTGATCACACCACGCTGTGATTTATGCCAGCTGACCCAAGTCCTCCCTCCAGTCAGGGATGCCACAGCCCTAATATATTCCTCTCTGTCCCTTGACCCTTCACACTGTATGACTAAGAACAGGAGGGCTTCCACACAACAGATGTGCATCTTGGTGATGCAGATTCATAGGAGATAAGGATGAGGACAGAAGTTTACCTTTTCCGTTGTCCTTTCTGTAGCAGTCCAAGTCTGAAGTTTTTCTGCTATCAAACACATTGGTCAAGAGAACCCCAAAGGGTAGCTTACTCTTCAGTATGCTAGACTATGTTATTTCTGCCATTTTAAGGTTTTATTTTTCTGCCCTTCACCAAATACAGCCCATTTTCTTTAAGAGTGTAGCTGGGTTTCTGTTGATCCAGCCAAAATCACAGCCCAGTTTTTCCATATTGAAGGCTTGTCTTTAGATCCCAGTTCCCAAATTAGATCCTGATTCTGTCCTTGACAAGAAACTTTGATTCCCTAGGACATGATGCAGAGGCTTTTAGAAGCCATCTGTGTCCTAGGCACAAATATTAAACATAGCAAGAAATGTTAAAATCCTTAAAATGGAGTAGAACAAAAGAATTAGACGTTGCAAGTCAATTCTCATTTGTTGTACTGAATCTGAGAACCATGGTTAGATGTTCCAGATTGATGCAGAAGGTAGCAAAGCATGGACTGCAAGCTACCAGTTATGCAAATAAGTAATACATCTGCATATTTGTATCCATTATTATTTTAATTTCTTCAGGTCACTCTTGTCCCATCTTCCTTTTGTTTGCTACTTGTCTCAGCCTTGGTGTCACCCTCAAACTTCCATCTTGGTTGACTTTGATACCAAAGAAAGATCTTGAAGCATGAGGAACTCTCGGAAGATGTTCAGGTGGTTTTGGTTTTTCCTTCCAGGATGTGGGAATACCTGGCCACTTACTACATACCTTTTGATCCTTTGTCACAAAGTCATTCCTTGAAGGTGACCAGATGCTTATATTGAAACGCAAGTAGCTCTAGGAACTACAGTTTGAAAATAGTGGCCATGTGTGATGCATAAACCAATTTGCAGTCCCTGAAAAAGAATTTTAACTTTCCAGTAAACGTAGTCATTTTTCTAATTATTCTTCTAAGAACTAGTCATCTAGATTACTGAGATACAGTGGGTCTGACACTTAATTTTTTCTCCTTCGAAAACAAGGCTTATATACACAAAAAGAAAAGAGCAAGAAATCCAGGAAATCCTCAGCTTGCTACTAGTGTGCCCTCACATTCCTAAGAACTATTTTTGGGTTTCCTCTTAGGAATAGCTAGAACTTGTTGAGCTGGGAAAGACTTCTTGGAACAGATCTTTGGTTTTGTCTTTTCTGCATGAGCGCCTCTTGTTGATGTTGGAATGACTACTATTAGCTGGTTGGTGATTCAGAGAACAAGGCAAGTCAGTCCTATAAAATCAGCTTCTCCACTCCACAATATTTGGAAAAAATGGTTGCAGCAAGCTGGTGAACATATAGGATTAACAATTGCCTCCACTTGCTTCGGGTTAGGACTATGCCAAGAGGTCTGTCTGGCTCTCTTCTGGATGTTGCTACTGCAGATTTGGTATAGCTCAAGAAATACCGGAATACTGGTGAGGGGGATACAGATGCTCTCCTTTCTGTCTCCGTATACCCCCAAGCACTCCATGCAGTCCTGAGTATTCTCAGTAAATCAGTGCTGAGATCTCGCAGTAAACATCTCAATCAGTATGAGATCTTAGCTGTCAAAGGATTTGTTTCGATAAAATATTTTGCATTTAGAGATGCCGTATGCAGACCAGCTAACAACCTGTAGGTACCTTTTGCACAAAGACCCTACCAACGTATCTGTGGCTGTTTGAAGAGTTTTCAGGCTGAGATCAGATTCAGTGCAGCACATTTTGATAAGGACTCAAAATGGTCACAGCATTTCTCATACACATGGTTCGTTCTTCACTGGGGGGAAAAACCTGTCATTTGAACTCCTGTTGGTATTTGTTCCCAACACCGTCTCTTGGATTTTTTTCAGTTCACCCCTATAGGGTGACAGTCTTTCCAAAACATCTGCAGATACTGCTTATGTATTTTAAAAGATGTGTTGAGAGGATAGTTGAAGGAATGAATGGAATGACTGGCATCTGTGTTAGGTTGATGCTGCGCCACTTAATACCTCTTAGAAACTACAGGGAAATTCAGAGAAAGAACCTTCATCCCAAATGACATGTGAAAGCATGTAAGGCTTGATGAAGTTACTTGTGACATGGTGAAGGAAATCACAAGTACTCTTTAAAAGGACTGTTTGCTCCCTGTTTTGTTGTTGTTTTTTACCTACTCAGACCAGAGATCTGTCAGTCTATGGAGGGTTATTTTTCCCTGCTAATTGCAAAAAAGAAAGGAACAGCAATGAGGTACTTTAGAGTAGCTTTGGGCTTTAAAGAAAGTTCAAGGCAATACGTGATTAATTTGTGTTGCATACATGAGAATTAAATTATAGCATTTCTCCCATTCATTTCTGTGAACACCATTTCTCCCGTTCTTTTTGTGTGTATGCCATGTTTGGTTTAATGGAGAAATGAGAAAAGAAAATAGATTCTTTTTTGGAGAGTGGGTACTAATGCAGTAACATTAAAGGCAGGCACATTGTTGTCAGCCAGTTTGCATATTTATTTACTTTTACAAATGGTTGGCTTGGAGTCAGCAGTTAATGGAATGAGAATGATGTTCCTGTACAGATCATTTCCTGAGAAACATTTTCAATTACAAACATATCTCTGCTTTTCTTTCCTCATTTGTTATGTCTTGGAGAATAAATGGGGAGTAGCATTTACAACTTAAGGTTTATGTTCTGAAGACAATTTTAACAATGATCCCCACATAAAAAGGCCCCTTTGTAGTTGCAGACATATGTTTATGATGTTTTGTGCTGTGAATATCAAATTTCTGGTGGACGCTGTGTCACACTCTGCAAACTTGTAAACATCTATAAATCCATTGGATCATTTTAGTACCATGTGTAATGCAGATTTATTGTCTTTTGTGTGGATTTCTTTTGTTTCGGAGTTAAAGCTGAGCTGCCAGAATCCATATTGGATGAATTATATATTTAAGAAAATTAGGCAGTACCATTTTAGATTAATATTTTCTTTTCCCTTTGTGGACTTATAAGATGCACACACACAAGCATCAGAAAATAACATTTTGGATGGATGACCCAGAAAGCAGTTGCATAAGTTTGCTTGACTAAATAGTGTCATTCTGTAAAAGCTTAAACTAGGACTTTTTGAAAATGGTTTCGCTGTTTTTTCTCTCATTCTCTGACCAAGTTAGGTTATTTGGTTCTCTCTTCACGTTTGCCAGTACAAATTCAGAGTTACTCTACTGGAGTTATATCAGGGT